TGCTGTACCTCCGGTTCTCGCCGCTAGGGGGCGCGCGCTGCTCACGATCCACCTTCCAGACGCGCGGCTCAGCGGGACGTGTTGGCGCCCCGATTTCTCCATCCGTAAAATAAAAAGGATATTAATTCTAGGTAACAGGATGCCTTGAGATTTTGCGGATTTATTTAGTCCCAGATAGACAGGCTCAGTGCCCCCCAATTCCTATAAGATTTCAAGACGATCACAGACTCTACTCTCCAGCCAAAATGTATCTAACCACAGATGGTCTGTATTGTATTTCACTTAAAGACTTTTAAAAATTATTTTATTTCACTTGGTTTAATTATTTATTTAAAATTTGACCAGAGGGGACAGAGTGAGAGAGAAAGAGAAAGCGAGAGAGTAAGCCTCCAGGCCTGGGACTCAAACCACCGTCTACCAGGTGGAAGGCCAGCACCCTTCACCATCACACCACCTGCGGGGCCCCCACTTAAGGACTATTTGTTTTTTTAAAGAATTATTTTATTTAACTTTCTTTATTTTAATTTGACCAGAGAGAGACAGAGTGAGAGAGAGAGAGAAAGCAAGAAAGCAAGCCACCAGGTCCGGGATTTGAACCACAGTCAGTCATGTGGGAGTCTAGCGTCCTTAACCACCACGCCACCTGCTGACCCCGAGGATTTTTTTAAAATATTTATTTATTTATTTTTATTTTTTAATTTTTTATTTTATTTATTTTTTATTTTGGAGAGGTTTTTGCTATAGGGCGCGTGGCACATGCGCCCGGCGTGAGTTTTAAGCCACCGGGTCTGGGACGAGAACCGTGGTCGACTACGTGGGAGTCCAGCGACATAGCCATTACGCTAACTGCTGGTCCCGATTTATTTATTTATTTTGATTTGACCAGAGAGAGTCGGAGTGAGAGAGATTGGGAAAGTGAGAAAGCAAGCTGCCAGGTCCAGGACTCAAATCACTGTTGGTCATGTAGGAGTCCAGTGCCCTTAACCACCACGCCACCTGCCAGCCCCAAGGACATTTCGATCTTATGATGGCAGTAGCTGGCAAGTGTTTTGTTTTTTAAAAAAACTGACAATGATGGAACCAGCAGTTAGCATCATGGCTATGTCCCTGGACTCCCACGTAGTCGACCGCCGTTCGAGTCCCGGACCCGGTGGCTTAAGCTCACGCCAGGCGAGTGTGCGTTCATGCCCCAGATCCCAAGAGGAGAATAGAGGAGAAGGGATAGCGGTGTGGCCATCCCCCCTGGGGGGTGATTTCTCGCTTTCTGTCTCTCTGTCTCTCTCTGTCTGGCGAGCACACGTGCCCTATAGCAAAAACCTCTTCAAAAAAAAAAAAAAGAAAGAAAAGAAAAAGAAAACCTAAGCTAAGACAGGCTGTTTGGTAGGTTACGTGGGGTTTTGTTCTTTAGTTTTTTGCCAGAGGGTGCCGTGTGCTCATTGGAGAGAGAGAAACAGAGAGAGGGAGACAAAAGGAAAATGAGAAATCATCCCCTGGGGGGATGGCCATGCCACAATCCCTCTTTGTCCATTTTCCTCCTGGAATTTTGTGCAGGCACGCACACACACCTGGTGTGATTTCAAGCTGCCAGGTCCAGGATTTGAACCATGGAGTTGGCCATGAGAGATCCAGTGCCTTAACCACCACACTACCTGCTTGTTCTGATTTTTTTTTTTAAAGATTTTTGCCATAGGGCATGTGTACTTTCCTGAGAGAGACAGAGAGCAGGAAAGTGAGAAATCACCCTCTGGAGGGATGGCCACGTTGCAATTCCTCTCCTCCTGGGATCTTGGGCACGCACATGCACGTGCCTGGTGTGATTTTCAAACCGCTGGGTCCCGGACTCCAACCATGGTAGCCATGTGGGAGTCGAGCACATGCACGACCACGCCACTTGCTGGCCCTGCAACCAGTGGTTTTTAAGCTGCCAGGACAGAAACCACACAGCCGGTCACATGGGGCCACACGTGGCCACACGGGGCCACACGGGATCCAGCCACCCCAACCCCCATGCCATTGACTGGCCCTTAAATACATTTTCTTTTCTTTTCGAAATTATGTTTTTATTTATTGTAAAGAATTATTTCATTTAACTTTATTTTCATTTGACCACAGAGGGACAGAGTGAGAAAGAGAAAGAAAGAAAGCAAGAATCGTGGTCAACCATGTGGGAGTCCAGCACTCTTAAACCACCACGCCACCTGCTGACCCCGAATTATATATTTATTTTATTCATTATTACTATTTGACAAGTTTCTATAGGGCACATGCGCTCACCAGAGAGAGACAGAGAGAGAGAGAAAGTGAGAAAGCAAGCCACCAGGTCCAGGACTCGAACCATCGTTGACCATGTGGGAGTCCAGTGCCTTGACCACACGCCTCTCCAGTTTTTTTGACGTACAATGGGTTTATCATCGGAACATAACCCCTTCCTTTTTTTTTTTTTTTTGAGAAAGGTTTTTTCTATAGGGTGCATGCACTCGTCAGAGAGATCAGAGAGACAGAGAGACGGAGAGACAGAAAGTGAGAAATCACCCCCCAGGGGGGATGGCCACGCCGCAATCCCTTCTCCTCCATTCTCCTCTCGGGATCTTGGGCACGCCCACGCACGCCCCCAGCGTGAGTTTAAGCCACCGGGTCCAGGACTCGAACTGCGGTCAACTACATGGGAGTCCAGCGACATAGCCATGACGCTAACTGCTGGTCCCGGAACATAACCCCCTTCATAAGTTGAAGAAGATCTATACTAGGCTCAGCTCCTAGAAGAAAAACAGAGGCAGCCCCAGGAGGGGTGAGGACTTGGCAGAAAGTGTGAGCGGACTCCCTTCCCTTAGGGAGAGCCTGGGGCCCCTCGGAATCTGGAGGTGCAGAGACCTGACCCAGAACTGGGGTCTTTTCTGTGCATTGTTGCTCCTCTACAAATGGGGCCCAGCGTCAGGTCCTGAAACAGGAGAGGCCGGGACACACGCGCATCCACAGACACAGAGAGAGAAAAAATATGGCAACTATGAGCCGGCAGGTGGTGTGGTGGTTAGGGCACTGGATCCCACATAGCTGACCATACGGTTCAAGTCCTGGACGTGGTTGTTTGAAATTCACGCCGGGCGTGTGTGCGTGCGTGCCCAAGATCCCGAGAGGAGAATGGAGGAGAAGGGATTGCAGCGTGGCCATCCCCCCTGGGGGGTGATTTCTCGCTTTCTGTCTGTCTCTCTCTGTCTCTCTGGTGAGCACACATGCCCTATTGCAAAAACTTATCAAAAAAAAAAAAAAAAAAGCAGCATCCAGTGTACAGATACTCTGCCCCCCCACTCACAGCTCCAAGATCAGAAATAGATCCGAATGGGGGAGCTGGCAGATGGACTCCCACATGGCCAACCACAGTTCGAGTCCTGAACCTGGCAGCTTGCTTTCTCACTCTGTCCCTCTCTGGTCAAATTAAAATAAAATAAATAAAGTAAGTTGAATAAAATTATTCTTTAAAAAGAGAGAAAGAGAGAAAGAAGAAAGAAAGAAAGAAAGAAAGAAAGAAAGAAAGAAAGAAAGAAAGAAAGAAAGAAAGAAAAAGAAAGAGAAAGGAAGAAGAAAGAAAAAGAAGGAAAGAAAAGGAAAGAAGGAAAGAAAGAAAGAAAAAGAAAGAAAGGGATCTGAATGGGGACCAATATATAGCATCATGGCTGTGTCACTGGACTCCCACGTAGTCGACTGCGGTTCGCGTCCTGGACCCAGTGGCTTAAACTCACACCGGGCGTGCGTGCGTGCGTGCCCAAGATCCCGAGAGGAGAATAGAGGAGAGGGGATTGCGGCGTGACCATCCTCCCTGGGGGGTGATCTCTCACTTTCTGTCTCTCTGTCTCTCTATAGCAAAAATCTCTCTTAGGAAAAAAAAAAAGAAGAAATGGATCTAGGTGAAAATTGGGGTGCTAAAAATCCCCCCATTCATGGCCCTTTTCTCTTGCCCGGTTGAGGAAGACGGGGAGGCTTCGTGGTGGGATGCGGTGACCTCCTTAGGGCTGACCCTCCCCCCCAGCCTCCCGGTGTACGGCTATCCCAGAAGCTCACAGTAGGCTCAAGCCTGACCCACAGTGGGTGTGCAATGAACAGTGATAAAAAACGAAAGAGGGTGGGAACCAGCAGTTAGCGTAATGGCTATGTCTCTGGACTCCCACGTAGTCGACCGCAGTTCGAGTCCTGGACATGGTGGCTTAAAACTCACGCCGGGCGCGTGTGCGTGCGTGCCCAAGATCCCGAGAGGAGAATGGAGGAGAAGGAATTGTTGTGTGGCCATCGCCCCGGGGGGGTGATTTCTCGCTTTCTGTCTCTCTGTCTCTCTCTGTCTGTCTGGCGAGTGCACGCGCCCTGTAGCAAAAACCTCTCCAAAAAAAAAAAAAACCCGAAAGAGGGTGAGCCCGATCACCTGGCCACATGGTGGACCATGCAGTTTGATTCCTGGCCCTGGAGTTTGTGAAAACACTCAGGGTACATGTGCATGTGTGTCCCGAATCCAAACAGAAGGGAGAGATGGAGAAGGGATTGCGGCATGGCCACACCCATCGGGGGATGCTTTCTGTCTCTTTCTCTCTGTCTCTCTCTTTCTCGGGTTAAATATTTTTAAATACTTTTACATTTTTATTTAGCTTTATTTCTTTATTTTCCTTTGTCCAGAGAGGGACAGAGAGAGAGAGAGAGAAAGAGAGAGAGAAAGTGAGAAAGCAAGCTGCCAGGTCCGGGACTCGAACTACAGTTGGTCATGTGGGAGTTCAGTGCCCTTAACCACCACACCATGTGTCAACCCCATTGGGTTAAATTTTTCAAAAAGCCCCAGAGCCAGCAGATGGTGTAGTGGGTCTACCGCTCGACTTCTGCATGGCTGACCGCAGTTCGTGTCCCGGACCCGGTGGTTTAAAACTCACGCCGGGCGCGTGTGCGTGCGTGCCCAAGATCCCGAGAGGAGAATGGAGGAGAAGGGATTGCGGCGTGGCCATCTCCCTGGGGGGGGGGTGATTTCTTGCTTTCTGTCTCTCTGTCTCTGTCTCTCTTTCTGGTGAGCGCATGCACCCTATAACAAAAAACTCTTCAAAACAAAAGTTCGAAGACGAAGTCGCTCCCCTCCATCCAGCCCCTTTGAGAACTCTCTCAGCTAAGCCCGGGGTCAGAGTGGACCCCAGCCAAGTTCTTCTAATGAAACCCTACAACTGCTTAGAAGGAAAAGCTTGGTTGTCTCTCTCAATGGGTGGGAAAAGCAAAGCAGAAGCCACCTGGGACTTCTATCTGGAAAAGCCATTAGGTCCCCAAGGATTCAGTCACCATGTTGCCCTCACGGTCCACACAAGTTTTGCCCAAAGTCCTCTGGTTGCCCAGGGGTGGTGCCTCGGGGTCTGGGCTGGCCTCAGAGGACAGGAGCTCCGTGTCAGGCGATTCCGAGGTTTCTTGGCCTAACGATGCCTCCTCCTCTTCTCCCTCCTCCTCTTCTTCTTCCTCCTCTTCAGCCTCTTCCAGAGTCAGCTCGAACTGGAATCTGTCAGGGCTACTCCACTCTGGGCTGGTGAGGTCCGCTGGGCTTCGGGGGATCTTGCTCTGGTACCACTCTCGGTTGTCTTCCAGGGTGTCCAGCAAGTCCTGAGCGTCGGGGTGTACGAGGTCAGCCCACGTCTCCCACAGTGGGTGGGCAATGTAGTCTATGAAACCCACCTGCAGGGCAGGATTGGAAGGCAGGTCAGTGTGCAGTGAGTCACAGGGAACCCTAGAATTAGTCCAGCCTTCAAGTATTCAGCTGGTTTGTTCCCATTGCCTGGAATGTCATTGCCCAACTTCTATTCATCCCTCAAAACCCTCTTCAAATAACCCTACCTCTATAAAATCTCCCTTGTCCCTTTGGCCTCCTCCAAACGCAGCCCTGACACTATAGGATTGGATAAATGTGTCACCGAGACTAGGAGCCCCTCCGGGGTCCCCCACATCACCCAGAACAGATGTTTCTTTCTTTTCTTTCTTTTTTTTTTTTTTTTTTTTGTCCTTTTAAGGTTTTTGCCATGGAGTGCCTGTGCTCACTGGAGAGACGAGAGATAGTGAGAAGGAAAGTGAGAAATCACAACCCCCCCAGGGGAGATGGCCACACCGCAGTCCCTTCTCCTCCATTCTCGAATTTGGGGTACTCACGCACACACGTTTGACATGAGTTTCAAGCCACTGGGTCCAGGTCTCAAACCGCTGTCAGGTGTATGGGAGTCCATGCCTTAACCACTACGCCACCTGCTGGCTCCCCAGAACAGATGTTTGTTTTGATTATTTTATTATTTTTTAAAAATTTGCTACAGGGTTGGACCAACAGATGATGTAATGGTTATGTTGCTGGACTCCCACGTAGTCGACTGCGGTTCAATTCCCAGAACTGGCAGCTTGAAGCTCATGCTGGGTGCGTGTGCGTGCGTGCCCAAGATCCTGAGAGGAGAATGGAGGGGAAGGGATTGTGGCGTGGCCATCTCCCCTGGAGGGGGTGATTTCTCGCTTTCTGTGTCTCTGTCTCTCTCTGTCTCTCTCCACCGAGCACACACACCCTATAGCAAAAATCTAAAAAAAAAAAAAAAAAAAAAAAAAA